ATATTTTAATATTTTTACTTAAAAAATGTTTACTGAACTTCGTCTTAAAGGAAGCGCATTCAATATTCATTTAGTTACGTTTGAAGCAAGTATACGTATATTTAAAGTGACGTAATGTTTTGGTTCGCTTAGTACGACGTGTTTTTTACTGAATCTCTTGCACGATTTATTCTGTTTTCTTTTTCTTTTTATATTGGAGAGAAAAAGAGAAAGGATGAACTGCATAAAGTGCAGTTAAAAAGAATGAATCTATATAATTTGTATCGGATTTCTAGCTTAGAGAATCTGCTGCATTTCCATTTATTACAGTACGATATATAATTATCTATGCTATCTATTTTTAACAAGTGTTACGTGTATCTTAATTTATATTTCATATCTGCGGTTGGCCTACTGATACTTTATTTTATAGATATATACCGCATGAAATTATAAATACACTGAGAAAAAAAAATTATAATCAGTTTGTTTTTATTTTTTTTTATGAAAAATATATTCAAACGTATATATTTGACTAAAATACATACACTCTCTCTCTCTCTCTCTCTCTCTCACTCTCTAACGAAAGAAATAAAGATAGAAAACTAGATTTAGTCAAATAAACAATTCATTTAATCAAATAAACTGCAGTTTCTTTTCGATAGGACATTCTAAATCTCTCATGATAATAATTTTTAATTATCTGAAACTCATTCCAATGTAGACTAACTCTAATCTCGGTTTAATTTATTCTTTATCTTTTTCTAATTTCTAGACCCAGAAGAAGAAAAAAGTAAGTAAATTAAATCGAAATTAAAGTTAATCCATAGATATTAGTATAATATGCAATTGGACCAAGTTCGCGAAATCGATGGATTTAATGTCTATTTCTACCGAAATAGTGGATGAATCCCCGTTTAATTTATTTTTTACTTTTTCTAATTCTTAGAACTAAAAGAAGATAGAAAGAGCAAATTAAACCGAGATTAAAGTTAATCTGCAGTGGTAGAAACGGACACAAGGCAGAGTTTAAATGTAAACATTCAAATCGTAAGAACTCTGATAAAGAAAATACCGTGATGCAAGTTCGCAAACAATTCTCTTTTATTAGTAATGTATATAACGATGTACACAAAGAAATACATTACGTACGTAACATGAATACTTTTCTTTCAGAAATTTAATACTGAACATTACTTGTTTCGAGTTTTAAAAGCACTAAATAGCAATGCTTTTTAATTTTTAGCATTCACAAAATAAGTGATTAATTATTAACTACTTTATACAATTATAAATTTATGTAAAAAAGTTATATATATTATCTGATGAAGTTTTATTGAAGCTTAATACACACTCTATATATCTATAAAGTTTTTTAATTCAAAAATAAATATTTTTATACATTGAGAAAATGTATTAAATTTCAATAAATATTTGTTTAAATATTACTATCTCAGGAAACGAGAATAGATTGAAATGGCTTGAAATGGATTCAGATTTTCAGAAATACCTATGCATTCGCAAACGTTGAAATGAATCCTTTTCAATTCCATTGCATTTTTATTCATTTCTAGGAATTGCATGAAGCACATTTCATACTTTTCAATCTAAAAAGGATCCATTTCTTTAAGTGTATCGTAAATACGATACGAGATTTAATTCAAACAATTTTGATATACATATAGGAAATGCAGTTTTCCAATCCAATTAAATAAAAGAAATAAATAAAAATAGATCGTGAATGTTACTAAAATACGAATGGTTTCAAACGCATTAAAATTTCGATCCATTTTGATTCATTTTCATATACAGGATGATGAAACATTTATTAAATGTTAACGCATGTATATTCATTCGATACAAGAGCCATTATTAATTTGATTTGTTTTTATTGAGTAAATATTAATTTACTAATAAATATGAAGTATATACAATACCATTAAACAAATATATATGTATTAAGTGAATTTTATCTCAGTGTTGCTGTGACGCAGAGCAGAATGCAGACAGCAGACGAAAGTCTCGCCCCGGCAAGTGTCGCTCCCTCGCGGACGGACGGCGCTTCCTGACCTCGGCGACAGCGGGCAAATTCGCCCGTGTCGTCTCCGGCGAATAAAAGTCAACGGAACGCCGTCATGGAGCACGAGAGTGCGCACGCAGGGATTCGCCTCGCCGTCGACGAGATGCTACCGTGACGTCGCGGCGAGCCGGTCGACGGTGTCGCCGTAAAGTCGTCATCGTCGTCCCCCCGTCGGGAATTCGCCCACGGAAGAAGTCCGCTCGGTATAAACCGACAGTACGCTCTCGGAGTATCATACGAGTCGTGACGACCGCTCTGTCGTAGAGGGCCGTCTATGTGAAGCGACACGCTCCGCGGCGTGTTGTCGAGCGGTGCAGAGCGCGGTTGTAGCGTGTACCACGCGCGAAACAGGGACAAAGAAAGAGAGAGAGAGAGAGAGAGAGACGTTTTTCCAACCGGCACGCGCGCAGCAGGACGGATTCGAGCGGCCGAGTGAAAATAGAGAACAGAATCCGCGGGAGAGACTAGCATTGGCGCGGCGCCGAGAGCGCGTCGCAGGCAGGTAGGGTCCGTCGAAAAGTCGGAGTGACAGAGATAAAGAGAGAGAGAGAGAGAGAGAGCCTTGGCTGGGAAGGGGGACGTCCCCCCCTCCTCCCCGCTCGCGAACACCTGTGCGTGCGCGGTGTGTGCGGTGCGGACAGTCCGCGTCCCGACATCGTCGCTGCCTGCCCGTCGCTTATATGCTACATGCACCCGCGTCGTCGTCGTCGTGCGTACCGGAGGAGTTGGAGCGCGTGATGGAGGAGTCGGCGGAAGCAGCGACGGCGACGTACGCGTCGCGGTGCCGCGGCGCGTCACCGTAAAGATCCGTCCACGCGACGTGCGATTTCTCCCCGTTACCTCACCCCCCCGGCACGCTCCGACGTCGGGGCATTAACACGGGGAGGGGGGGGGGGATCGCCGCGAGTTTCGGCCGCGAGTGTGAGTGGGTGCGTGCGTGTTCTTTCTGTGCCGGATATCAACCCCGCGGCTGATTGTCGGTGGTGGTGCGACAACGGCGGTCATCGTCGCGGTCTCGAAAAGGGGTTAGAGGAAAAGAGAGGAGCAGAGAGACGTTTGTCGCCAGTTGTCGCGGTGGCGGCGTGAGAGAGCGCGACGGACGGGAAAAGGGCTCGAGCGTAGACGGAGGGAGAGAGGGAGAGGAAGCGGCAGCGACGAGACGAGACGGCCAGTCAGTGGCTCAGTACGCCAGAAGCGACGAATTCGATCGGCGGCGCTCCCTTTGTCCGCGCTTCGCCCGAGAGCGAGAGAGAGTGTGTGTGTGTGTGCGTGTATGTGTGTGTATGTGACTCGCATCGTCCCATTAGTAGTCACTAATCCAACGACGTCGGATTAATTGATGCCGACGGATCGACGACGACGTACCATACCACGCAACAACCGTCGAGAAGCCCGGTTCGATTTTTATACGACACGTCCCCCGGTCGCGACATCTCTGATCGACCGACGACGCGCGTGGTGTTATGTCGTCGCCGACGGTGGCCCGCGTGACTCGTCGTGACCGGTAACGAAAAGCGCGCGCGTTTCTCCGACGGGAAGAGAAGAATCTCAGAAAACGTACGAGAATCGATACGAGAAAGAGCGATCCACCCGGTCACCACAATATCCGAATATCGGTTACGATAAAGGAAAGAGGAAGAAAAAGAGACCAGAAACAAGAAGGAGAAAGGATCGTATTCTAGAAACAATCGGCGGCTTTTTCGCGTCGCGAGTGCGAGCAACTGTGTTTACGTGGGTAGTCGAGGCAGCGGGGTTATCCTCTGAAGGATACGCGATATCGCGCGGATACGTGTTTCGTCGAACGAGAGAGAGAGAGAGAGAGAGAGAGAGCGCGAGAGCGAGCGCAAGAAGGAGAGGGGCGGTTCTTTGTATGGCCATCGGGAGGCGGGAATCGATCGGCGGCGAGAATCGGCGGAGAATCGGGACCGGGTGAAGGGGCCCGCCGGGGGGAGTATTTTCGTCCGCCGACGGGTGAAAGAATGGAACAACGGCAGCAACAGCGGCGGTGGTGGCGGCGGCAACGCGGCGACAGCGACCGCGGCCTCGACGGCGGAGTCGTCAAACTCGCGGCGGCCCGGTGCCAATAACCTTCCGCGCGAGCCAGCGACCAGAGTTGACTTTTCGGTAAGCCCCGCTTCCACGCGCGGCGATCATGCGCTCGCCCTCGTCGCGCGCGACAGATCGTAAAATTAGAAGACGTTCGAGGCGAGCGTGCGAGCGACGTCGCGATCGCCTTCTGCCGCGTTTTGCGACGATACTCGACGGCCGAGAGTCCCGCCGGAGGCTCTCACCCCACGGGTGTGACAGTGCGGTTCCGTAGCTCCTCCGCGAGTGCCCGCGAAATCTGCGAGCTCGTGTCATCGATCAACAAGAAGGAAGCAGCAGCAGCAGCTTGCGGAGATTTCTGACTCGTCGCCGATCGCGCGCGAGTGGTGCACAACCCCTTCTAGTCCGCTGCATTTACACGCGAGGACCTCGTCCGTCGTTTCTCACCTCTCGTTCGAGAGGACGAAGAGTCAGTGGAATTGATTCGCGGTCCCCAAAAAGGCTCTCTCTCTCTCTCTCTCTCTCCTTCGCTCTCTCTCTCTCTCGCTTTCCCTTCTGTGGATACGTCTCGATTTGTTCAACTGGAGGAGACGCTCTCCAGCTGCGCTTCGTTAGTCCAAATTTCAATTCGTCCGTAACGCGCAGTTCATCATCCTGGATCCTCGCCTCGAAGTAATCGTCGTCGTCTCAACGGAGAAGCATGTCACCCGTCGTAACATCAGGACTGTTCTTCGCGTCTGGCGAAAGCGCGAGGATCACGCGCATGTCAGGACACACGGAGGAACGCTGATCGCGCGCCACGTGGATTCGTCCGCTGGACGATACGCTCGCGCGTTCTCGATAGCGGGCCTCGACGAGGACAGATAGGACTGACAAACGAAACAAATGGGCACCAATGACTAGCTTGGCCCTGTCGGCGGCGGCAAGCAGGATCGAGATGCCCCTCTCCAAAGCGAATCCGTTCGTGCAGGCGGGCGCGATCTCGACGCAGCCGTACATCTCGAGCAGCGAGAGCAGCAACCACCTGCCGCCGATCATCAAGGGTACCGGGCTGACCGGCCTGAAGCAGACTAGTGGAGGCGGCGGTGGCGGCGGTGGAGGCGGAGGTGGCGGCGACGAGTCGGTGCCTTACGTGCAGGGTTACCAGAAACTACCGTGGAAAGGCGAGAGCTACGGCCTGAGTAACTGGCCGGTGAATTACAGTTTTAGTCACAATTCGCATTCCCAACCCAACAGCCAGTCGAGCAGTCCAGTGGTGAGAAACGGCCGTTCCGATGGCAATTCCAACAGCGGAGCTGTTCGCGGGGGAGGCGGAGGAGGGGGAGGAGGAGGAGGAGGAGGTGGCGGCGGCGGCGGCGGCGGCGGCGGTGGTGGAAATGACAGCGGTGGCGTTGGTGGCGGTGGAAGTGGCGGCGGCGGCGGTGGTGTCGGCAACAACAGCATCGTCAGCGTCAAACCGAAGACGGCGACCATCACGCCGGAGATGGTGATGAAGCTTTACATGAACAAGCTGACGCCGTACGAGCACCACGAGATCTTCAACTACCAGCAGATCTACTTCATCGGCGCGAACGCGAAGAAACGGCCGGGCATCATCGGCCGGCCGAACAACAACGAGTATGACAACGAACAGGGCTCGTACATTCACGTGCCGCACGACCACGTGGCTTATCGGTACGAGGTTCTCCGTGTCATCGGCAAGGGCTCGTTCGGTCAAGTGGTCAAGGCCTACGATCACAAGACGCACGAGCACGTGGCGCTCAAGATGGTGCGGAACGAGAAGCGCTTCCACCGTCAGGCGCACGAGGAGATACGTATACTGCGCAAGCTGCGCGAGCAGGACAAGGACAACACCATGAACATCATCCACATGTTCGACTCGTTCACCTTTCGCTGCCACATGTGCATCACCTTCGAGCTGCTCAGTATCAACCTGTACGAGCTCATCAAGAAGAACAACTTCAAGGGCTTCAGCCTGCAGCTTGTGCGCAAGTTCTCGCACTCGCTGCTGCTCTGCCTCGACGCGCTCTACAAGAATAAGATTATACACTGCGACATGAAGCCGGAGAATGTGTTGCTCAAGCAGCAGGGCCGCAGCGGCATCAAGGTGAATAAATGCACGAATAATCCTATTAAAATAGAAATCGCGCGATTGTGATATTTTGCTCGATAAATATATATCTTTTCAACTATTAGGTATTCAATTAAGAATAATCGGTATCGGCGGATCGAGTGAACGTTTTCTTCGCAACTGTGTGTTGTGAACAATTGTAACAAATATTTTTCGTAATCTTTAACGAATTTTTTTTCTTTATTTTTCATGATTTTACTGGATTTTGTTCTTTAAAATGAAAGGAGTGTGGTTCAATTATATTAATTTTAAGCAAAGACTAAAAGCTAAAACTTTTTTTAGTACACTGATCCGGCGAATACCGCAGTTAAAGAATTTTCGGAGTGAATACCGAGAGAGATTAGGATTAAATACATCAAAATTTCAGAGTAAGCGGGATAAAAGAGTTAAAAAATGTTTAAGATAAAAAAATGCACAGATAAAAAATAACTTTATTAGGAAGTATAGAATATATTTTGATATTATACAGTGAATTATATTTTTGCATAAATCTATAAAATTTATTTCCACAAATCACTTCTCATTTCATAAACAAGAGAATTGAGATAAAATTATCGAAAAATGAATATTTTTTAAATATTTTACGTATCGAAGTGAATATTTTATATCCTTCGTATGTATTTTCATGTGTTTTGTTGTATTTTGATGTGAGATATCTCGAAAACATTCACTTTTCACCTTTATTTTACTATTTTTTTACGCAGAATGACAAGAGAGATTGATTTGTATGAAAAAAAAAGAGTTATGCAAAAAACCAAGTATAACCAAAACCATTTTTATCTCCGTAGTAGTGATTAATTATTTTACCCGTGCATTAAACGTGTTTGCTCCTTTTTAATAAATATTATACGCTTGGAAACTTTCTATAGATATTTTATGAAAACAATTTTACAAATAGATTTATAGCCTATAAAGATAAATAAGCGTATACGTATCGTGTAATCGAAAGGCTTATAATTTATCGCCATGTCCCAGAAACCGATATTTCGGGATTAAGCAGCGATGATATTCCGCTGCTGCAAAATGCGAAGCGCGGGTTCGCGAAAATTAGAGTTACAATCAGATCGTTGGACAAACAATAGAATTGCGATCACTATAAATCGCATGCATCAATATGCGTTTAAGGAATTTACAAGATGTTTCTTGGAATTTCCTTTTCGGAACTAGAGAAAATCTGTTCTGAATTTAACAGAATTGAATTTAGATTTGTTTCCGCATCCGAAGTCTTTAAAGGAAATAAATAAAACGTGTCACCGAGAACTGTTAAATTGATGCGTGACAATCTTTACTTTTGTAACTACACAGTTCGAAACGCGAGTTTCTTTCGTGCGACGAAGGAAGGCACAATGTTTGAAAGCAAATTTACAGCTTGAGGCACTCGACACATTCTTTGATATTTGCGATAATATTTGCGAAACAAGAGCTCGAGTCACTCTGGAAAGCATCTTGAGAGACCACTTATTATTTCTCGTAACGCGATCCTTTATTGACATTCCTTTATTTGCATGCGGAAGCCTTACTACTCCACGTTGGGACAACAAATATGTCGCTGTACCGACGATACGATGCACTGAAGTCATGACACGAGTGACGTTCCAGGAAATGCGAACTAAAAATTCATATCGTTTTATATATGTACTTCATCCTTTTACCTGCTGCACCATGTTCCTTTATACGTTCTTATCCCATCAAAAATATCACGTACAGGATATTTTCTAACGCCCTTTTTTACGCCCTCCACGATCGCCTTTATTTTCGTGACACTGGGGGTTTTCAATTAATGCTAATCGATATTCCGCCTCGCCCACGAAACATTTTCCATGTACACAGCAGCCGCGACCTTTAGCCCCTACTGTTCCCGAACGAGGATCCGATATCGGTGAAATCGTACGGAAGGCTGTCTGAGGCTGCCTTTTCCCCTCGCGAATAATACGACACGTCGCGTTTTGAAAAAAAAAAATCAACCGAGTTCATGGCTAATCGACAAACGGAGAGAGAACGCGCGCGAATATTATCTGCATGGCCATTGCGCAGGTACAGTCACGAAACGGACGTAAATAAACTGTGTTAACCCGACATTATCAAGATGAAAATATGTTTACTAATTGTAAGATGAGATTCGTTAAATTCGAGTTAGTCTGAATCGTATATAATAACACGATGAAATTTATTTGGAATATCTTAAATTTAATGCGAATCAAAATTATATCTACAAGAAATTAAAAAGGTTACGAGTCTAAAGGTGTAAGATGCTCTTTAATATAATGCTCTTTAAATTACAAAAGTTACAAACATTTCTATCCTTATCGGGTCATCAGTGTAAATAACATTTAAGTAAAGTTAATTCTAATAAAATTAAAATAAGAAATTTTGGGGGGGAAACGCATTATTTAGCCTGCGTATCTTAAAATTATTAATAATGAGATTCGATAATCAAAAATAATAGAAATTAAAAAGGCTACGAATCTAATAGACTTTTAAATTTCTATTGTTTTTGATTATTGGGTCTTATTGTTATTATAATTTATTAAATTTTGAACTAAACAAAATCATTCCATTACGTTAACTTTAAGTAAAAAACACATTAATTTAAAACACTACACCAAATACTAATTAAAGAAATTTCGAAGCGAATTCTGATCACATTGAAAAAAATCTTTAAGTCTTAACATGTTTCTTTGAATAATAGGTACTAAGTAACATTTACTTAAAGTAAATAAATATTTACTTAAAAAAAATGATATATAAATTAATGATTATACTAAATAAATATATTTACATTTAGTAAATATATTTACTTAGAACTATTCAAACAAATATTCATTAAAATTTAGTATTTTTCAGTGTAAGGTTAAAGGCAGAATCAATTTTTTGATTGTATAAATTTTGGTAGATAAATTTAAATTTATACGAAATAAATAAAATGTAATGCAACTTCTATGATAGTAGAAATTCGTTGTTAAAACTTTTTGTATGAGAATTTTTTCACATTTTTATACAGTTCGGAACAATATAAAAATGTGTATTAAGCCGGAAGATCCATACGATTTTGTTGAACTAAAAATTTAACTAACAATAAGTAAATAGAGAAAATAATTTTATTAGACTATCAAAATAATTATATATGTATGTATATGTTTACAGATATATCTATAACTCAAACATTAATAATGTTGCAAAAAGTTTTGACGTCTAACAATCGATTTCAGTTTTTTCTTATCCTATATAATATTAATTATTTCTGGTTACTATTTATACAAAATTTGAACTTTGTCATACTCTGTCCACTGCACTTTTTTATCAATATAGATTAATGTAATTAAACTTACGTTTCATATTTTTTTAGTTCTAAGAATTAGAAAAAGATAACGAGTAAGTTAAACCGAAATAATTAATGTTACTCTGCATTAATAGAAATGAACAATAACGTCATGTTAAATAACTAAGTAGTCTCTTCTATCGCACGATATTCGGTTTATCGAAACGATCCGCGAAGGAAGGCGATAGTCCCAAAGGGGAAAATTGGAAAATTTCTACTGTACAGCTACTCGTCTCAGATGCACTAAACACTATATTGTTTCACCACAACGATGGAAACGGGGATATATCATACGTGGGCGGTGACAGAAATTCTTCGGTGCAATTCTGCGATTCCCAAGCGGTGGCTCGCGAGTCTACGGGGGATTCCGGTGTATATTCGCGTTGAAAATGTTGGTCCATTACCAATGGTACCTCTGCTTCCATTACGCTTTTAACGGTAATTGGTAGAACGTATGGTTCTCAAGATACATCGCGTTCTTCCTGCCGTCGTTGTAATTTACATTGCATATGAATTAACAACTTAAATACATTCTCTGCTAGGACTATGAATATTTGACGTCGTTAGATATGTAAAACGGCTTTGAATTAACGCGTGTGCATTGAATCAAAAAACATTCGATGAAAATCGTTAAAATATATCGTTATTTTTAACTTAAGACTTACTTCTTGTTACAAAATAGACAAATTTGTCAATATGTACAGGATGGTGCACGAAATGTCATTTGGTGTGTTTAAATATAATTTATATTAATTATACATTTTTTTTTATGTTTATATACATTGTATATACAATTATATTTAACTAATATATATTTATTTTTAACCAACCTTGATACAGAGCTAGTACAGAGACAATTAATTATCAAAGTCTGAAAATTGTGGATAATTAAATGATATGACATTTCATACGGTACTTCGTAGCTTGTTCGTGTATTCACGTTTATCTGATTATTTTGAATATCATTCCCGTATTCAATTCTCGAAATCTTGGATAATACCTGGTATTCAGAGGTACGTGGGTATTCCAAGTCCTTGCCCCTACTTCCTCGTCCCGGCAATGAACGTGCAAGAACGCGCGCGTTCAAGTGGGAATCGCATTATCTCCACCAACTGTAGCATTCGCACGCAAGTCCGCAAACTTTCTGAGTAAGGCCTCTGCCTGTCGGGTCATAACCTTGCGAGGCCGCACGGTGGTTTACTTTGACGTCGACCTGCACCGACGCTCGCACTGTAAAGCTGAGAGACCGAGTGTTTGAAATGAACAAAAATTAGATTTGCTTGCCTCCTCTAAACGGTCGTAACCGATGGACGGCAAGTTCCGATGGCCTTCCAACGATCGGAGTCTGAGCTCGATCAGTGGGGTAACGCGATTCTTTCCATATCGCTGCGAAAGCGATGATGACACAGCGTTTCCGATCTTCTCTGTTTTGATCCAACTATCACTGGGAAATTGAGATGACAAGTTTAACCCTTGTTATACACGATGATCTTTCATTCCTTTATTTACTACACACGCCTGCGCGATGAGTCGTTTGTGTCCCAGGTTAATTTTTTCATCATTTTTCATTCAAGTAAAAAATTATGTGTCAAACGGTTTTCTTATATTGAAAATTATTTAAGATACTATATATAAGATTTGTTTTATACAAAATTAC